TGAAAAATCAAAAGTGTAAATAAGATCCAAATTGCATAACTGACAATGTGAAATAGGAAGAAAGGGGCTAAAGGTGTAGGGGAAGTGGGAAGAGTAGGGGAAAGAAATAAGGGGAAAAATATGAGAAAAGGAAAAATGGAAACAAAGTCTTTGTAAATAGGGAAGGGTGGAGAGAGTGAAGGGAGGGCAGAGGTATGGGGAAAAAATGAGAACCACGATCTGTCATGTAAAGGTACAAGATCCCAAAGATGAATGTAACTGTACTGTATACTTTAAAAGTACCAATAAATTCAATGAAAAAAAAAAAGAAGAAGATATTTAATGAATTGACATGAAGAAGAATGCTTTTAGAATTAGTTTGTTGGTAGAAGCTCTTTGTTATGGTTAGGAAACAAACTCTTTCTTATTCCTCTTTGCTAGGATAAAAAAAGAGTGGTGAATTACTTTGTATTTTTTAATATTAAACTCTCCTTACATTAATTGTATACAACAAAGTGCTTATGATATATTTTGTTAAAACACTTTTTTCCACTGGTTTGATAATAGCCTATGTAGATTTACAATAGCATTTTTTGTGAGACTGACCTATTATTTTCTTTTCTGTGCCTTTTCCTGATTTTGGTAGCTGGATTTTATTAGCTCAAAATTATTGGACTACTTTTCTTCTTTTTTCTGTTCTTTGAAACTGAATAGACGTTTCTGTCTACTATGATTTGGTGAGTCATGCTCATCAAAAATTTGATCTTTTTTGTGGGTGAATTTAGAAATAAGAATTCAGAGGCTGAATACAGTAGAACACAGAGCTACTTGGAAGGCCGAGGAAGGATTGCTGTTTCAAAGCTAGCATGAGCATATTCAAAATAAAATTTTTAAAAAGGCTCAGGATGTAATTGTTTAGTAGTAGAGTGAAATACTGCAAAAACAAAAACAAAAACAAAAACAAAATCAGTTCAAATTATTTAATAATTTTAAATATATACATGCTTTTCATTTTTGAATCAATATATTTTATAATTTACTTATTAAAAGTATCTTAACATTTTAAATGTTCACAGAAAAAAATTTTACTAAAACTAATTAGAATTTCCACATTCATAGTCCTATTTCTTTCTTTTCTTTTTTCATTGTCAGTTTTACCAGAAATTTATGTACTTTTCTGTTGTTTTATAGAATTTGCATATTGTTTTGTTGGCCTTTTCTACTATTACTTTGTGTATAGGTCTATTTTTAGCTTTAATTATGCATATATATATATATTTTTTCAATTTCTTTTTCTCCCCATGTTTAGATCTGAACCCTTTTGCTTGCATAAAGGACGCTGCAGAGAAAGGATACCACAGCCTTTGGTCCACTTCCAACATTGCAGATATGTGTGATAAGACAAAGGTGAGCACCCAGTGACTGTTTCAGACTTTGATTCCTTTGCAACCTTGTGTTTATACCAGGCACAGACCCAACTTCCATTCCCCATTCCTGAAAGCATATTTTGCTGTTTCTACTCTGAAGGGAGATACCTGTTTACTGAACTTGAGTGGCCCTTTAAAATAGAAAGGTGAATGGTTTTAGCTCAGAAGAAAACCCTCTGAGCAGCACAAACACCCCATTTTCAGAAGGAGGAAACCTATGCCCTCAGGGCATCCAAAACCTCTCAAGCAGGCTGAATTCTCTCAAGGTATTGTTTTTCTAAAATATATTCTTTGAATCAGTGTCTACATTAATAGGCTAGAGGGAAAGTTTCCAACAGATCTTTGTGCTGATAGTTTTGATTGCTCTCTGCTAGAAAATCTCAAAGGCTTTTTGCCAGAGAGAATGAAACATAGGGAGGAAGAAAGAACTGGTAAGCCAGGCAAACACTTTTGAACAAGTAATATTTCCAAGGAAAATGACAGCCCAATTTTTCAATCCCAACTAAAAATTTCTCAAATCATAGTCTTTGGCTCCCTAGACAAAATCAATAACCTGAAAAAGTCTACAATGCCCCTTAAGATAGGAATGTAAAAGCTCCACCTGAGTGTCCTTCATCAAAAATTTCATTTTGCTGAGAATATCTTCTCACGCACTAGATGTTTTTGGCTTTGTTGGAGACATTCGGAGAAGAAAAATCTACAGAAATGTTGCCTGGCAAAGGACTGGAGAGAAGACTGCTCAAGAAAGGAAATAAGTTTAAACAACAAGAGGGCTCCAGACAGATGAAAGCACTAAGGGAAGGCTGTCCAGGTGTTCTCCTTTTTACTTCCATAGAAACAATATCATCAGTGTTAGTATTTTAAGAAGCCCATTCAAATATATCTTACTTTTTAAAGACAACTTGGAACCCTATGAAATAGGCTGTGCTAGTATTATTATCCGACTTCACAGATTAAAAAAAAAACTAGTTCACTTGAGACATGATGCTATTTTTGATGGGCTTATCTACATGCTGAACTGGGCTCTGTCTTTCATCTTCTTTGCTCTCTCTTTTTATACTGGACATGCAATCTACTTTCGATTTTAAATTTACTGACCTAAAGCTAGCTGCAGAAGCAGCCTTATTCATACAGGCCCATGCTTGTCAGGAAGACAGGTCTGTCCAGCTAGGCCTTTCATTTTGTTCTCCACAGGTAGAACTTTTAGTTTGTTCTCCAGTAGACCAAATAAAGAGGAAGCAGCGTACAACTTATTCTAATAACTTGTTCTGCAAGTTAACTTATTCTAAAGTTTTATAACTTTATTTAAAGTGTGATTTAATGAAAACTTTGTTCTTGCAATGGTGGCAGTTGAACCAGGGCCTTGCAGTGAGGTACTCCTCCCCAACCTCCCAACTTACTCTTGACTGTCTCTGTCTTGCAAGGACAGACTTCACACTGGATGTTAGCAAGGATCATGGGGTAGTTAAGGTAGTTAATATGCAGTTAAAGCAGAAGAAACTGCATTCATTCCTCAAGAAGGCAAGGGATAAAAATCAATATATTAAAAATATTCAAGCTGAGTGCTAAATACTATGTAAGAAACTCATTGGTGGGCCGGGGATTTAGCTTAGTGGTTCTGCTGCCTACCTCACAAGTACAATGTCTGATGCCTGGTATATTAAAAACAAACTCATTTGTACTATACCTTTGATTTATGGGGAATACTAATCATGAGAGTAATTTATTTTCTTTTCATTAGATATGGACGTATTGACTTTAAGAAATCTAACAAGTGGAGTGTGTAGTATGAGGGAGAAAGGAAAACTAGGTGTTGGGTGATTTTTCTTAACTGAATAGGGGAATAGTTAAACACAAAAGCCTCTTTTGTTACATTCTTTTCTTCTAAATATAAGATATGACCAAAAAATACAATGAATATTTAAATTTTAAAAAGTTATTATTATAAAAGACTCATTGATATTAATCCCCCTCCAAATATCCTCCTTTCTTCCAACGCACTTATTTCGTGGTTCTTGCCACTTTCTGACACAGTTCTGGCAGTTCTTTCATGAGTGCCTTTAGTCGCGCTAGCCTGACTGCGTCCAGAATTGATTCAGAACTTTTCATGATCATTTTGACTTTGGAGAAGAGGTAGCCATTGCATGGTGCCAAATCCGCTGATAAGGTAGGTGAGAACACACCCTAATGTTTTCAAGAGGTTGCTTTTCCATTGGATGGAACTCAGCAGCAGCATTTACCATATTTTTGATGGTATCTCATTCAGACAAGAAAGGGGACTCCATAATTGCGTTAGAACACAGCAAGAACGATGGCATATGTGTCTTTGAAGCAAGGGGGTAGATTTAGAGGGGGTTAAAACATGTATTGTTTAATGTAATCTTTTTACATTTAAATATTCACTGTATCTTTAGATCATACCTCATACTTTTATTGGTAGATTTTACACTGAACATTTTCCAATTTATCTCAACATGAAATGTGTTAGTGTTTGCACACATGTCTACACGACTGTACACAAACATAGTTGCCCTGAGCACAAACGAGTTAGCACTGTGCATATATAACAATTTTATTTTTCCACATTTTCAGTAGATTATTGTAAAATAAATAATAAATTGGTAGGAAAAGAGGGAAAGCAGAATCCTTTAATGTTTATTTTCTGAAGGTATTTGAAGGACTGTTTTATAAAGGAAACAATTTTGGCTAGTAAATGACCAGTAGCCTTCAGCATCCTGTGGAAAGCACTTGGGCTCGGTCAAGGTTCTCAGCAGTGACTGGCAGGAAATGGTCATGGTCTCTTCGATGTGTAACTTACTGGAGGCTCGAAAAGTTTTCCTTCCCTGCAAGAAATCCCACCGGCTCTGCCACCGCGGTGTAGAGCGACCTCTCTCTTCTGTAAAGCCCAGGATTACCGGTTGACCAGTATCTGCAGCGTGCTCCCTCCTTGCCTCCCATTCCTTCGTAGGCCTGTTGGGATCAGGGCTGCTGTGGGGCCGTCCCAGGCCTAGGTACCACAGCAGGCCATCGCGGATTAAGCTTTTACTCCTCAGCAGCTGTGCGTGCTGGCCTTGGTGGAGTGAGAGGCAGAGAATCCCGATCAACGCAGAAGCCCTGCAGAGCAGGAGTGGGAGGCGGGCGGGTGAGATGGCGGCTGGAGACTCCCACTCCCCAGTGACCTAGCTTTGCTGTAGGACCTGGGCAAATCCACGTGGCTGCCACTCTCCAGAGAATGATCCCTGGGCCTCAGTCCAGTCCCTCTCCCGCCCACACCTCCAGGTGTGCTTTCCCCGCCCTTAATTACTCTCACTAAAATTGATAGTTTGCACTTGCAAAATTACACTGGGAAAGCGGAAGAGAGATTTATAATCATGGATCTGGAGGACGCGGGGAGCAGAGAGGCACACTTGCTTTGCTCTGAAGCTCGTCAGTCAGAAAATTCAGAAGAAGAACACACCTTTATAGCAGGTCTATCCTTCGTTCTTCGCAGCCTTCAATCTAGGGCTGTGCTGAGAGAAACTTTGCAACTTCTGGAAAGTTCAGAAACTGAACTCCTCCAAAGAGGCACGTTGTGAGAGATTTGCAGGCCCCGCGACGTTTCCTAGAGCTTTTCAAGTGGGAAAGAGAAACGGGACAAAATGAAAACGCACTGGACTCCCGCAAAGCTGTCACGCCCAGGGGTGAGCGCTGGAGGGGTGGGGTGGCAGTGGCGAGGAGGTGGCCTCGGTCCCCACCGTGGCTGTGTCTGATCTGGGGTGCGGCGGAGGGGAAGAAGGAGTCGGTAAAATAATGAATGGGAG